TCGGCAAATCATGGCACCAAGTTATTGGTCTATGAAGTAGAGTAGAATACAATAGTCTTGCATGGGGCAAAATCAATTTGTATTGAAGGGCCCATTAAAGGCGCACTTTGTAACTTGGAGTCGGGAGTGAGGACCGTACGGCATTCTGCGGACGACTACAAATAAGAGCCAATTGATTCATAAGTGAGAAAAGAACCCAAGAAGCTGCCGAAATTTTCTGGACAGTGTCCCTTCTCAGGAGGCGGAGGTGGTGTGGTGGCAAGTAGTGCGCTCACGACTCGCTCGGTCTTTGGTTCAAACCCCCGGCCTGACTTCCACCTAGGGCAAGCAGGCCTTCCACCCTCCAGGGACGGTAAATTGTAACCAGCTTTGTCGGGGAGGTCAAAGCACTGACTTGTACATCGGCTGGCCCCGCAACTCATTGTATAGGGCCACATCGCATTCAATAAGCCACTACGATTCTGAATGGAAGTAGAATGCGTGCCGCATCTCAATGGTATTGGTGAACGGCAAAGACTTTATCTTTTTTTTGTTCTGCTCAGCTTCAGCCGAAAAATGAGAGGCACAGAGGCACTTGATTCAGAAAAGAGAGCGGGACGGAGACATTGGCCCATATATAGTTGATATCGTCGCCATTAGGACATGTCAGGAGGGAAGAAATGCCTTCCTGAGCTGCTCTTTCTACCACTGGTGTCGGTTAATAATCCATTTAGGAAGAAAACAGTCATTGGTAGAAAACGCCGCGCGTGAGCTTCTGACACCGCTACGACTACGTTGGGCGGAGCAGCAAGCTGGTGGGTGGGGTTACTATGACGAATAATGGATTCAGCGTCGTCGTTTGGAGCCGTGGAAGCTGTAAAACATCTGCCTTTGCAATCTGCGCTACTTTCTCTGGGAATCAAACTATCATGGAATGTGTTTTTGTAAGGTCTCAGTGAACGAGGGTCCTTCATGTCATCATGTCCAGCACTATATCAGTCTTTCAATGAGGCCGTGGCGATCTTTTCGTGATTTATCAAGATGAAACAGTCCTTTCGATCGATGTTCATTGACAAAAATTTATTGTAATCGCATAAAAATCGGTCGCCTTTTCGCCTCGATTTATGCATTGTCCACCTCTTCAGACGATCTTATCGACACCGGAACACTATTTTCTTTTAGGACGAAACGGTGCAGGTGAACTGGATGGTGAACAAGGACAGCGGCAAGGCGGTCTGTATCATATTCCTCGCTCGGATAGTCGCCTGATCAAGCCCACTTAATTAGCGCCTAGTGTTTCTGTGGTACTACTGTAATTGAGCGATAAATGATGTCTAAAAGGTGTAGTTGTGCAAGTGGTTGGAACAAATTTACGTGAGCGCTATCTGACAACGGCATAAAAGTCGTCAAGCCGAGCGGATGGAAGCGGTGATGGACCTGTAAACTTGAGGTGCAGGTTCTAGTCCTGCCTAAGGCCAGTTACATATTTTGCTCATAACACAGCACCCTTGTGGTAAATCACATTAATTGATTAGATGAACAAATTTTTGGCTTTCAACAACATTCTATTTCAATTATTTCCGGATAATAACGAACAGGCAGTTGCGTTCATAATTCCGTAGTGAAAATACGGAAGCTACAGGAGGGAGGCAGAAAATGACTCATCGTTCGTGTCATGGACGAGAGCTCACGTACAGGAGGTGGCGAGGTCAATGGTAAAGACAACGAAAATGAGTCCACAGATGTTCCCATATATAACATTTTCACTTTAAATTCACCACTTTTCAAACCAAATTCACCACTCTTCTTAGACCAGGCAGTTCACCAACCAAATCACGCCAGACACCACCGCGAACCCTGCCCCGGGTCACGCCTACTTGTCAGCGCGGACATAGATTTTCAACACATGACTGACTCCGCCCATTCTTTAAAGTTTGTTGCGAACTTCAAATCTTCATAACTTTTCAATTTTTAATTTCACATCCACTCTTCGCACAGCGAAGGTACTCGCAGACGCGCATTCATGCACCGGCAAGGCTCCGCCCCTTTGGCCACGCCCACTTGCTGTTTGCGGAATTATGATATTTTTTCAAAATTTTTGCATTTTTGGACTGCTCCATGAAGGCCCGAACCCGCTGTGAGAGGCTCCGCCCACTTTGAAGAAGCTCCGCCCACTTTTCAGAAATGGTGCAAATCGGCAGTATAGATCCATGGCTTGCATGGCAAGGGTATTGCTGGTCATTAGTAACAAACTTTGCCTGATTTATTTGTTCCGAGTGACGGAAGAGACCCTGGCATGAAAGCCAAGACCCTATACTACCGATTTACACCACTTTTCAAAAGTTGGCGGGGCTTCTACGAAGTGGGCGAAGCTTCTCTGACAGTCAGAATGCAAAAATTTAAAAAAATACCAATTCCGCAAACAGCAAGTGGGCGTGGCCAAAGGGGCGGAGCCTAAATTGCCGGTGCATGAATGCGCGTCTACGAGTACCTTCGCTGTGCGAAGAGTGGATGTGAAATTAAAAATTGAAAAGTTATGAAGATTTGAAGTTCGCAAAAACTTTTAAAGAATGGGCGGAGTCAGTCATGTGTTGAAAATCTATGTCCGCGCTGACAAGTAGGCGTGACCGTCGGGCAGGGTTCGCGGTGGTGTCTGGCGTGATTTGGTTGGTGAACTGCCTGGTCTAAGAAGAGTGGTGAATTTGGTTTGAAAAGTGGTGGCTTTTGCTTTGAAAATTGGCAAATTTGGTTAAAAGTGGTGAATTCAAAGTGAAAATGGTATAAACTGAAGCCGCACTCTTAATATCTCTGCCCCCGCTGTCTGGACATGTTGGAAGAATTCATTTTGGCTGTCGAACACTGGGAGCCGTATTTCGGCCATGGGATTGAGGCGCTTGGAATGCTGATTGCTGGTTCCTGGAAAAAGCTGATCTGGTGGTGGAACAAACCAGCTGTCCATCGCTTTGAGCAGCGGTGCTATCAGGGCACGTTGATTGAGGAGATTTTCACGAAATCCGATCCCTCTCTTACTGCTATGACGTCTCCCCTTACCCATCTCCCACCCTATATACCATCGTGAAATTTTCCCAACTTCTTAACACTTTTCTGATTTCTATATTGTTCCTTGTTGTAAGACATGATGTCGAATGTTCACTTACTTTTGCCGACCGAGTTTTTCGAATGGAACCTTTCATTGGCCTAACTTTCGACCTTCTCGTCTTCTTCAGAGCTTTGACCCCATTTCCAGGTATGTGACAAGAGGATTGCAATTTGCCGCGCTGCTGGGCGTCGCGTGCGACGTCCCGCCCGCAAAGGACGATGGTTTCAGGCAGTAGATGGCGACAACATGCAATTAAGGACCGAAAACAGTAATGAGTGTCTACGATGACGGGGTCTACATGAAGTCCGGTGCTTCATTCGACAGGTTAAAACGAGTTATGAAAACGCCGCGCCCATCGCCGCGCGTGGCGGTGCGGCGAATTACGATCCTCTTTACCGTCTCCCCCCATTTCCAGGTCTTGGATGAAGTGACTGAACATTCGATTATATATGCATTCGAAAAGCGGGAGTAGGATCAACCAGCTAAATCATTTTTATCAGAAGCAAATGGGTTCTTCCTACATGTCAGTTAGATCGACAAGCTTTCTGGGAACTCGGGCACCACCATTTGGTGGATCCTCTAGGAATTCAGGAAAATATCCGATGTAGATGTTCAGGGTGTCCACTTACCCGATACTTCGCACAAGATAGGTCTCGGAGTGCATTCCATCACCGAAGTGCCTTCTTTTGCAGTAGCTCCCATCCTCTCGGAGAGAATCCCCAGTATCGTCACCAATTGCGCCGCTAATGTTCAACAACCACACAACTTATTCCAAACGACGCGCTTGCGCGCCAGCCAAGAGGATTTAAAGGAGAAAGCTATCAATCACTTTCAAATCAACGGAGCATTACGTTTTATCGTGCGATCAGCGATGTGTCAACCAAATATCCAGAAAAACTGTGACGGAATCTAAGACCCTACGGCGATTCAATAAAAGGATCATTCGATCCGCAAAGACCTTCCGATGCCTTTGCGGTCACGTGGTCAGAGTAGCGCAATTCGGCGACGGGGGACATTTTGAACTTTTGCTCCTTCCCATTTAGGGAGCCTTTTCTCGAGTTGAGAGGTTTCACCACGACTCTGCTCCAACTTCTCAAGTGTTCACAGATTTCGCCAGAGTAAGACTTGTAAACCGGCTAAGGAGCAATGATACTACAAAATCCTCCCCCCCCCCGTCGCCGAACCGCGCCGTCAG